CTGTAAAGTGTTTTCAAAGTTACATAATATGTATCTTTATATTCCATTGGAATATAATTTCATCTTGTCCACTTTTTCAATTTTCAGAAAAGCATCATCCTCAACACAAAAACGTTTTTTATAATCAATGAAAAATTAGGTTTCCAACGCTCTTTGTACAATCGAATGTGCAAAGTCACTTGAACATCTTCGATGTTCCAAGCTATCAAGGTTGCACGTGATGTTCGCGTCTCCAACCAGGCGGATGGCTCTTTTCTGGATGGAATCCAGCAACTTCAGGGCATGTTTGGAGGCACAGCACCATACATGCAAACAATACTCCAAAGAAGGTCTGATCTGAGCTTTATAAAGCATCAAAAGTTGCTAAGGTGTGTACAGTTTTCTGATTCGGTGTTCTGTTATTCCAAGCTTTTGAGAAGCAGTCTTTGCAATTTCAGTGACATGATAGTGCCAAGACATATTGGTGTCCATTTTAACCCCCAACAAACTTATCGAAGCAGAAAGCGGAATTGTCAGACCTGACATTATCATATCCGGTTCGGAAACATTTATATTCTTGGAGAAAACCGATGCCTGGGTTTTTGTGGCATTGAATTGAACCTGGTTACTTTCGCCCCAATTCGAAATTACCTGCTGCCCGTGAAGATGTGCCTCCATAGCCGATGTCCTGGAATCCAAATGGAATGACGAGACAAGTGGGCTGTCGTCAGCAAAGCAATATGTTTGATTCTTGGGTTTTTCCAATAAGTCATTGATATACAATGAAAAGAGGGTTGGAGACAATATGGATCTCTGGGGAACACCAGTGCTGATGGTGAAAATATTCGAGAGATATCTTTCGACGGCCACTTTCATGGAACGTTTTTTCAGGAAGCTGAAAAACCATACACAGAAATGATCCGACAAGCCATATATCGAAGTTTGGCCAGCAAACCCTCATGCCACACACGGTCAAAGGCTTTAGAAATATCGAGCGCAACAGCTCTTGATTCTCCATGTTCCTTGATTGCATTATTCCAAATATGGGTACAAGATCTTGAAGCCTTCCAAATATTTGAGGATATGGTGGTTTACGTCTTTCTTCATGATTTTTAATAAAACTGATAGCACAACGACTGGTTTATAGTTATTTTAAAGATTTTTCTTGCCCTTTTTGGAAATAGGCTGGACGTGAGCAGTCTTCCAACAAAAAAGAAACCCCTTTCTTGTAAGGCAGGTTAAAAAGTCTGCAATATACTGGTGCGAGTTCATTAGCGCACTTTCTAAGTACGATGACGGGCACTTCATCAGGGCCAGACGACTAGTTGATACTGAGCTGTTTCAAAATTCGTCTGACTAGACGCTGTCGAAAAGTAATTTCCGGCATTGTGGATTCTAGTGTGAGACTAGTGGGTAGTGCATTTCCCAAAAAATCGACTGTGGAGAGGGACGCAAATTATTCAGCTAGTAGATTTGCTTGTTCTATGGCTGTTGTTGTAATTGAATCATCCGCTTGTATTAGTGGTGGAATTGTGGATTCCGTTAAATTCTGAATAACAGCTTTAGTTACTGATCAGAAGTATCTAGATCCTTTGGGATTGCCAAGCAGTTTATCCCTAATTCTCCGATTGTGAAGTTCTTGCTGGCATTTATCTTAAGTTTGCAGCTGTTGCGAGCATTAACAAACCTAGTTCGGTTTTTGGCACTGGTATTTTTGCGCCACTGCCGGTAGGCGAGATTTTTGGAGGCGACAGCTTACTCGCAGTTTTTGTTGAACCAAGTTTTGCTGTTGAAAGGTCGTTTCATTGAAAAAGGAATATATGCATCCATGGATGATAGAATAACTTCCGTGACTTCAGAAACACAAGCTGATGAATCTTTAGAGCTGAAACAAACATCTCGCAAGGGGAAATTTCGGAAATGGTCTTGAATATCCTCCCATTTAGCTGATTCGTAATGCCAAACTTTGCGCGGCTTTGTTCCCCAACATTTATCGGTAATTCACTCAACACTGAAATGAGTTTGTGGTCAGAAGGTCCCAATGGAGACCTTACGGTGACTGTGTAAATTTCTACATTGGTTGTTAGGTATAAATCCAGAATTCTAGCATATTCTTCATCACGGTCAGAAATCCTGCATATGCGATCATCAAGTATAAATTCACTATTAACACTGTTTCGAGGATTTGTCTAGTACTCCGTTGTTGATTTCCGATATAATTGTCGTTGTTTGAACGTTTAAATCTGTTTGAAAGTGAACAAGTATCATTATACAACCACTGGAGTATTTTTTCTCCTAAAGGAGCACATGTCTCAATTCCATCACTCATCCATACGAATTGATTGGAGTAGTTTATAGAATTGCATCAAAATCTCTTGTTATTAGGGTTAAATTCGAAGAAGTGTTTCTCATACTATATTTTTCTCTACATTTGCTGAAAAGTTACCGAACAAAGGTGTGATAACTGTCCCGCCAACTTCAATTAAATTCGGATAGTCAAGAGCTACAAGAGCTTTTTCAACATATCGTTCTCTATGAGATCATAAAAGGAAATTGCCTCCAAAGTGCGAATGAAACTGTACGAATAGTCTTGTAACAGCAAATGAATAAAATTACATC